GCTACTGGGGTCCCCCCCCATGGAAGAGATTAAAAAATCAATAGCTATATCACTAAAGTGCTATAAAGTTATAATGATGTATTGTACAGTGGTGTACTAGTTCTTAGTTTCATTTTTTTAAATAAAATAAGTGTCCAATGTTTTTCCTTATGGAAGTATTAAGGGAACTGTCCAACCACACCTTTCCTACTATAACTATGCAATGAAAATGGCTAGAAATGTCCTTTTAAAAATGAAAGCTAGAACTAATGGACTTTAGTGATTACTCATTATAACATGCTGTAACATTGCATAGTCTTCTACCAATTCTTGATTTTTTTAAAAGCCTGAAAAAATCCTCCAGTGTGTGTAGGGATGTTGCAGCAAAGAGATCTGAAGCAAGGGAAATGGCAATGATGTAGGTGAGACCTACAAAAAGTGCACATCTTCCCATCCATATGGCATCCAAAGGAGTTTTGCATGTGATCTTTCCAAAAAGATCATACCAAACCAGGTTGGGGGGGAAAGCGCAGCACAGCATGGGAAAATCAGAATCAGAACGAACAGAAGACAAAATTATATTGATGCTTCCAAAAAATGCCAAAACAGAGCAAAACGTCCATGTCGAAGCAGCCCTGGTGTAGTCAATCTTGGAACTGTTCTCTCAAGGGCAGTTCTCAAGAGAGCTCTCTCAGCCCCACCTACCTCACAGGGTGTCCTTTGTGGGGAGAGGAAGGGAAGGAGATTGTAAGCTGTTCTGAGACTCTGAGTGAAGAGCAGGGTATAAATCCAATCTCCTCCTCCTCCTTCTTGGTGCATATCCTATACTGCTGAATCTCTGCTGTAAATTATTACCTCTCCCTTTCCAGGCTGGGCTTAATCTCAATTTTCCTGAGGTTCAATAGAATGGCGGGGGAAGGATACGTGTGTAAGATCCACAACTGTTAATGCTTTCCACTGATGTATTGTGAGACCACCCCAATGGACATACGCAGGATTTAGTCAACTTGGGACAATTTTAAAAACCTCTGGGAATTTATCGATTTGAATGTGCCTATTTCGTAATCCTTTAAATGACTCCTTACTTGTATCACAGCATTTGGGTTATATTTTTATTGGAGAACTGAATCTGAAGATAATTTCCTGAAATTCCTCATTGAACGTTGGATTTTATCTCAACAGTTAAATGTGGGTGTACTTTAGATTTGATGGCTTCTTATAGGATACAGCAGATTCTAATTGCCATTTACACGCCACTGGTCAAATACTGAAATCAAATGTTAGATGTCAAACACAAATATTAAATATTTGATGACTATTTATCAAATATGCATGTAGTTGGTGAATTGTCTGGAGAGTTCTCATAATCGAAACTAGCGTGGGGCAAATGTTGGGAGAAAATTAATTTCAGCTTCCTTTGCCCCATTAATCTGGATGAAGAATATTCTTCATGCCCTCCAGATGTAGACCAGTTTCAGATATATATTATTTTCTTTCCAGGGCAGCTCACACAGATTGATGCAGGCGGAAGCAATATTGTTGCCGGAGTCATAAATGATGCTGTCCGTTGTCTGCCTAAATCAAAAATTATTCTTGCTGATGTCAACCAGGAGGTGGAGTGGGACCACATGGAGGGGAGAATGAAACACATAGCCTGCGGGCGATGGGGTTGCTGGGCTGTTGATAGAAAAGGCCAAGCCTATTTCCGACATGGCATCACTGAGGATTCCTGTGTTGGAAGCAGTTGGACAGAAGAAGGCAAAGGATTTTCTAAGATAGAGGCTGGGACAGATGGATGTGTCTATGGACTAACCAATGACCAACGGATTTATCGCAGGTATGAAATGGATTTGGAAGAGGGTCTCCTCATGATAAAGATGGCTGTCATTCACCGGAATTTGACTTTCTAAGTCAGTTCAAGGCCATGCTGGATGAGACAACAGCAGCTCTGTCTCTTTAAATGTAGTTCTCTTCCATGCCATGTATGCCCCATGGCCATTGACCTGTGGGGTGTCTCAGGGCCCCATCTTATTCCCCATGTTAATTAGCATCTATATGAAGCCATTGAAAGAGGTCTTCCGGAGGTATGGACTGCAGTGTCATCAATATGCAGATGATACCCAGCTCTACCTTTTTCTTTTATTACCTAATTCTGAAGATGCTGATGGTGTTCTGAACCTGGATGAGACTGGATGAGGGTGGGTGAACAAGCTGAAACTTAATCCTGACAAGAAAGGCCGACCAAGGACTTCAGATCTCTCCTGCTTTTGATGGGGTTATAGTCCCTTTGAAAAGCCAGGTTCGCAGCTTGGGAGTACTGCTTGAAACAGCAGTCACCTTAGAAAACCAGATGGCTGCTGTAGCTTGGGGTGCATTTGCCCAGCTTCAGGTGGTGCATCAGCTGCACCCATTCCTGGTTCAGTCAAGTCTAGCCACAGTGATCCATGCCTTAGCGACAACGAGACTGGGTTATTGCAATGTGCTCTACTTGTGGCTACCCTTGGAGAGTTTCCAGAAGCTAATGCAGAATGCTACAGCTAGACTGCTGGTTGAGGCCAGCTACTGGGAGCATTTGTCCCTGATACAGCAGCAATTACACTAGTTACTGATCCATTCCTGAGCCTAATTCAAGGTGTTAATGTTGTCCTTTAAAGTCCTACACAGATTAGGACCAGGGTACCCTAGAGTCGGACTCGACTGGCTTTCGAGCAAGGGAAACCTTTACCTTTTTATCTGAAGGACAGGGCCTTTTCAGTGGCAGCCCCACAATTATGGAACAACCTCCCCAGGGAGGTGCACCTGGGCCCCTCACTGTCAGTGTTCAGGAGGCAGCTGAAAACAGTTTTATTTAGGACTGCATTTGACTAATTTAGTTTTTATTTATTGGCTGCCCTCACTGGAGCTTTTGAATTATAATTTAAATTATAATTGTTTTTATTGCTTTTTTGTAATGGTTTATATTTTAAATGGCCTTGAGTTCTGCAAGGGAGAAAGGCGGCTAATAAATGTTTTAAATAAATAAATGTGTAAAGCAAGAATGGGGATATAATTTTAAGAACTAAAAGGGCTGGTGAAGAGTGTGTTGCCTCTGGCGCTTGCCACACTGGGTATCTTCTCCTGATGTTTTCCTTCCAGTTAGAAGCATTTCCAGTGTCATAACATCTTCTGGTGATCCCCAGCTCAAAAGACATCTGCTGAGCCTCAACCGGAGCCAGAGCCTTTTCAGCTCTGGCTCCAGCCTGGTGGAACACTCTCCCAAGTGAAATCAGGGCCCTGCAGGACTTATTGCAGTTCCGCAGGGCCTGTAAAACGGAGTTGTTCCACCAGGCCTTTGGTTGAGACGGCAGGTGTCCAACCACATTGGCCTCCCCTGCTCCAACTTGTCCCTTTGTTGTGCACCATGTCGATTTGTGCCATTGGTGGTCGCTTTCACCTACTTGCTCAATAACACTGGTCCTTTTTGGGCACACATACAGCAAGCACTTGGGAGCCCTGTTAAGTTGTTTGCTCACCATCATGTGTTATGTTAATTGGGTCTTTTAGGTTTTAATTGTAAGTATGGGGAAATTGTTCACTATCCCCAATAATGTGCCATCTGTGCTCTTAAAATGAAAACTGCTATATGATTGGGGCAGACCCCTGTTGTGTCAATGTCAGAACTGAATGGCATATGCAAGACCATGAGGATGACTCAGTCATACCCCAGAGGTCTGCACACTACTCCAATACTAATGCTAGTTTTTGCCAGACACCTTTAAAATCTTAGTGATGAATGTAAATTACTGACACTAGTCCTAAGAAGGTTTTGATTCCAGGTCATAGATGGCCTTAGCATCTGACTTTGCTCATGGAACTTGAATTTGTAGCCATTTTTTTGAAACTCAGTCTTGTCCTTGCATAGCTTTAAGACATGAGTACAGAAATGCCAACCGCACAGATAAAAAGCAGAGACGCTGATGATATTCAGAGAAAATCATGTTGTTACATTTCCTTGCAGGGTGGGAATCTCTAAACAACAACCTGCTGGAACAGGCTGGGCTCTGGTAGAAATGGAACCCCATCTTCATGGTATCAAAGACATGTCCTATGACATGCGCACACTGTGGATTGTGACACCAGACTTCAGGATTTTTAAATGCTTAACTTCAAGGAAAGACAACGAAGAAGAGTAGAACTCACCTTGTATGAATAACATTATCTTCTGCTCTGGCAAGGCTTCTAGCCATAGTCAAGAAATTAAAAGCATTTCAGGCAAATGATTTGTCTTTGTCACCCTCTCTCTATTGCTTGTGGTGTGTCTCCATAACATAGTTCCTCTTACTGCTTGAAGGCATTTTTCTTTCAGCGAGTCTTCCATATAAAAGAAGCATGGTGTTTTCTGTTCCCTCACCATTTCTGGAAAGCCCTTAGGACGGCCCCGGTCACACGGGAGGATTTGCCCCGCGGAACGGATGGATTGAGGGCAGATTAAACCAGTGCAATCAGATGCCAACATCTGGCAAGCATCGCACAACCGCCCCCAACCCATCCCTTCCCGCCGAAGATGTGGAGTTAAAAAAACCCTGCAAAACACTACTACTTACTTGAAAATGCACAGCAGGGGTGGCCATGTGATCGCTGACGTGCCCATCTCTTGTAGCATGCGAGGCCCCCTGCCGAACTGCGCATGCGCACACATGCGCTGCTGACTCACCTTGCTCTCCAGTCCGTGGCTCCCCTCTCGGCATCTGATCACGCTGGGGAGCATATGCGCGGCGGCTCGGAGGATCTGTCTGATCCTGTTGCCGCGCTTCTCTTTTGCTGCGGCTCTAAAAAGCCGCACTTCTGCCACAGCTTTTCCTGCGGTGTGACCGGGGCCGACAAATCATTTATAATTTTGCAGTTGGTTGTCATCAATTTATTGCCACTACCCGGCTCTATATATCCTTATCCAAATCTCCTGGTAATGTGGTAGAAGTCCTAGCTGCTGTGGTTAAATGGCTAAGAGTGAACAAACAAAAACTAAACTCTGGAAGACAGAGATCTTGAAGGACATTATGCTCCTACCTTTGATGGGGTTCAGCAGACCCTTGCTAATTTAGATAAGAGCCTTGAAGTTACACTGGACCCAACATTACTGCTGGAGAAGCAAGTTAATACAACTGCAAAAAGCACTTTCTTCCAACTCTTGTCTAGCCCAGAAGAGGCCTCCTACCTTGGTATGGCTGACTGGCCATCTGGATCCATGCTACAGTAGCATCGACACTAGACAACTGTAGTGCACTCTACATAGGTCTCCCTCAAAGTCAACTTGGAGACTCCCGTGATGTCATAAAAAAGAAGAAGAGAATGGATTTATACCCAGCCCTTCACTATCCAAAGGAGTCTCAGAGCAGCTTACAAACTCCTTTCCCTTCCCCTCCCCACAACAGACACCCTGTGAGGTAGGTGGGGCTGAGAGAGCTCTTGACAGAAACTGCTCTTTTTCAAAAACTGGGGCTTGCCCAAGGTCATCCAGCAGGTGCAAGTGGAGGAGTAGGGAATCAAACCCGGTTCTCCCTGATTAGAGTCCGTGCACTTAACCATTACACCAAACTGGCTCACTTCTGACTGCATAGCTGGAAGTGATTCACAGGTGGAACTGATATTATCATGAAATTCTAGAGTGTCCCACAACTTAGTGACATAACTTCCAATTGTGCAGCAAAAAGTGAAGTTGTGCCACAATAGAATGCAGTTTGGGTAAATCTCCACTCCCCAAGGCTTCCAGAGATTGCCAGGAACCTTAATCGCCCTTTTAGCTCTTTAAAGGGCCTTTTCCAAGGGTAATTTCCTGCAGGAGCACACAGGAGCGGAGCTCCGGCAGTAAAGAGGGGGCAGGCACATGCAACAAGCCCCACCCCCTGCGCCCAGCAGCCCTCAGTCAGAGCAAGAAGCAGCCAGGTAAAATGTAGAGCTCCCCACGGCCCCCCGGTCCAAAACAGTCCAGTGGCACTTTTAAGACCAAGTTTTCTTCAGGTACAAGCTCTCCCTCCTCCCTCCTCTGCGAGGAAGTCTTCCCCTCCCCCCCCCCCCAATAGCTAGCAATCCAAAATAGTCCAGTGGAGCCTAAGCGGTGGGTGTTGCCTTCTGACACACTTCTGGTGATGTCAGGGGGTGTGGCACATGCAAATAAGTTCTGCTAATGAGTTATGCTAATGAGCTCCTGCACCTCTTTTTCTACAAAATGACCCCTTTTCCAAGAAATGATTGGTCAGGGAAAAGGGAGTCCCATCCTGTAGAGGCCCCCACTGAAATAGTCAGTGTGTCTGCACAGGTGCAACAGATGGAAGGGAGAGGAGCAGGGGTGGGGTGGCAGCAGCAACAAGCAGTGTGAGAACTGGGATATGTGGGCACTGTCTCCACCTGTTCCCACCCCACTTGTAGCTGCTCCCATGGTAAGGGCGCATTTTCATGCCACTGTGTAGATATAAACTTCTGTGAAAACCTGATCACTTACCCAGAATTCTGCTCAGTGTCTGGATGGGGATCCAGGTTCCCTTAAAAAGCAGCAAGACAAGTCAATTACATTTTTATTTGATTCAGGTAATGTGTCAGGGGAGGGGCTATGGCTCAGTGGTAGAGCATCTGCTTGGGACACAGCAACTCCCAAGTTCAATCCCTAGCCAAAAGGATCAGGCCTCTGAGACACTGAAGAGTTGCTGTCAGTCTGAGTAGACAGTACTGACATTGATGGATTGAAGGTCTGTTTCAGTATAAGGCAGTGTCATATGTCTGCTTCAAAAAAAATCCCACCAAAAAAACTATAGATTTTCTATATGAATTATCACCGCCAGTAGAAACCTTTTCTCTTCCTGGACCACTAGGGGGTGGTGTTCACAAAACATCCTCTGAATGCTTGGAACCAAAGAGGTGAAATATGATGCACGTAGCCTTTCTCTAGGGATAAAACCTGCTGCTTGCACTTCAGAGTTCCAGCTTGGAAAATGGGAGCCCAAACCGAAAACAGGAACAGAGCAGTTCTGGGCATCTGTTAAATACTGAATCAGGATCAGTCTTAGTATGCATAGCTATTTGTGCTGCCTCCAGTAAGCGTTAACTGTAGGCAGTAGTTGTTGTTGTTCAGTCGCACAGTCGAGTCCGACTCTTCGCAACCCCATGGACAAGATCTTGCCAGGCCCTCCTGTTTTCTGCCGTCCTCTGAAGTTTGCTCAATTTCATGTTCGTTGCATCTATGACACTGTCTAACCATCTCATCCTTTGCCGTCCCCATCTTCTTTGACCTTCAATCTTTCCCGGTATCAGGGTTTTCTCCAGTGAGTGCTCCCTTCTCATTGGGTGGCCAAAGTATTTGAGCTTCAGTTACATTATCTGGCCTTCCAGGGAACAGTCAGGGATGATTTCTTTTAGGATTGACTGATTTGATCTTCTTGCAGTCCAAGGGACTCTCAAGAGTCTTCTCCAGTAGTAGTAGTTTGGTAAAACTGCTGTAGCCATGAAATTAAAAGACGCCTGCTCCTTGGGAGGAAAGCGATGGCGAACCTAAACAGCATGATAAAAAGTAGAGACATCACCCTGCCAACAAAAGTACGCATGGTCAAAGCAATGGTATTCCCAGTAGTTATGTATGGCTGCGAGAGTTGGACTATAAGGAAGGCCGAGTGCCGAAGAATAGCTCAAATACTTTGGCCACCAAATGAGAAGGGAGCACTCGCTGGAGAAGACCCTGATGCTTGGAAAGATTGAAGGTCAAAGAAGACGGGGACGGCAAAGGATGAGATGGTTGGACAGTGTCAACGATGCAACGAACATGAAATTGAGCCAACTTCAGAGGACAGCGGAAGACAGGAAGGCCTGGCGGGAGCTGGTCCATGGGGTCGCGAAGAGTCGGACTCGACTGTGCGACTGAACAACAACAAAAATCTTTAAGACTAGTTGCACCTGGGAATTGTAGTTCTCAGTTAGGGGTCCCAGCAGCTTCCCTCTGACTGGCTCATTAGGGTAATTTCCTGAGCTCAGAGGCGCAAAGATAGGAGTTTTATTGCTCTTTTCCTGCTTCTTTTGTCTATCCTTACCGCGAAGGAGAAGGGGAATCTCATCTCTTTCTCACGGCCATAGAATAGACTTAGATCACAAAGATGTAACTTTCCACCCAGCTATCAGCCTGATTGTGAGTAAATGATCTTCTGAATGCATGTGGAGTTAAATAAAGATGATTTAAACCTTCGTCAGGGGTCATACATTGACTCATACCTAGAAGGCGTTGGCTAAGCCGCAGCCGGTGCGGGACAGGACACTATTACTTCTGAAAGTCCGTGAGTCTATGCACAGGGCTTCCTACCTGATGTAGATGACAAATGACAATGAGGTGAGTGCAGCATTTGGCACACCTGGAAGCAGAAGCCACAGCCCTGGGAGGAAAAGCAAAGCATGCATAGCTTAAAGAGTGTCCATGTTATTCAGGGATATGAACAATTTTGGAGAGGTGAGATAAAAATATGTAAAATAAATTATTAAAGTGACAGAACAGATAAAATCACTTGAGTTATTTGCATGAATAAAGATTTTCTTTTGAAAAAGCCTCCAGGTCTTGCTGAAACAGCACATTTCTTTTAACTCATTTATTTCTGCGGTGTGCTATTGATGGTGATAGATGAGGATCATTCCTCAGCCCTGATTGTGAGCTGGAATCCAAGCATTTAAAATTAATAGGTCTGTGGATTGCAGCAACCAGAGGGTATTAACAAAGAAGACTGTATTTCTCTTCCTGGACCACTAGGGGATGGTCTTCACAAAGCACCCTCTGAATGCTTGCAACCAAAGAGGTGAAATGTGATGCACACAGCTGTTGCATTAAAGAGAAATGCCCTTATCTTAGTTAATTAATCACACACTAGTGGGATCAGAGATATGTTGGTCTTTATTTGTTCAGGTGACATCTGCACATTTTAATGGAATCTACTACTACTATGACCATGTGCGAAATTTTGTGACCAAAATGCCTTCCATGTTAAGTTGTCAGGTCTTGCAAACCTGGTGCCATATATAAATTGTGGCTTGGAAAAAAACCTGGCATTTCCTCCTTGTTTTAAACTCACTGATTGGTTTGCCCTGTCACAGAGAAGACAGCTGATGAGAATGACCTCCTCATTTTATATCTGGTGAGAAGCTCTATAACATAATTGAAAGGCCTACATAATGACAGTACTTAATGACTGTTACGAGAAGAGTAGGTTTTTAAAAAATGGAATTGTTTCTTCTTGGCA